ATAGATAGATAGATAGATAGATAGATAGATAGATAGATAGATAGATAGATAGATAGATAGATAGATAGATAGATAGATAGATAGATAGATAGATAGATACTTCAACCGTTTAGACTCGCAAAGTTAAAAGCCAGGTAGATGCTATGAACTGTCTTGATGAACTAACGTGAAAACAACCATCTTGTAACAACAGTGTCCATCAATGAGAATTTGTGTATCCAGGCTCCCCAGCTGTCTGGAACTCAACTCTCTTCTTTCTCTTACTCTTACGCCGTTGATCAGCATGGCGGACTCTGGCGTGGCCTGCTCTCTCTCTCTCTCTCTCTCTCTCTCTCTCTCTCTCTCTCTCTCTCTCTCCACATCTTTTCATAGCAACCTTTTTGCTTAGTTAGATTTGTTCCTGTGGAATTATAGTCTTCTTCTTGGTGCTTTTTTTTAGTTAAGTGTTACATCCTTTCCACATCAATTAAACCTCAAAAGTTACACCTTTCCACATCGTTTAAACCTCAAAATTGCACCTTTTCACGTTATTTAAATCTCAAAAGTTACACCACACACTTTCCACATCAGTACATGTAGTTAATTAAACCTCAAAACCCAGAACTAACATTTTGAAAATTCATCTCCGGTACGTCTAGGTAGAAAACCGTGGAGCTATCCATACAAACTACATACATGTACTGGCATATTAATTTGACCAGGATCGCCGGGTCTTTAATCCAAATTATGTTTCTACAATCGAGCCAACGCTGCAGTGCTCTTTCACTCTATCATAAAGCAGAATGACGTGGGATGCATTAATTGTACTCATGTCGCTGTCCTCATTTAACACACTTCCTGTCTCTGTATGCACTGGTGTCCCCAAAGGAAATGAACGGATTGTGATATTTTCTACATTGATTAAAGTCATTCTGAGGGTCTTGAAATTATTGTAAACGTAAATGCTTTACACTCTCACTGACACAATACAGACATTTCGAGAGCGAGCTGCTTCTACCTTGCTGGTCAGTACCAGCCACGGCTTAGCGGTATTTAAAATCAAGAATAGGCAGGACGACTCGAATGTAATGTGACACACAGCGAGGCAGCGTGGTGAAATCAGGCGCTCGTTAAAATAACAGGCATTTTCCCGCCAGTTTGGAAATTTGTTTGTTGAATTTTTATATAATATTTTGGCTTAACCGTACCTCTCTTATGTCCATATATGAAAACACATTTCAGTGTGAATTTTACTGAAAAGATTGATTAAAGACACAAAATGTGTCCTTTTTCAAAGACTCTTCAGCTATTGGAGTTACCAAACGTTGGTGACCCATTTTTCTAGCTAATTTCACCACAGAAACCAGGTGACCTCCCTTCCTTCCATTGCAAATATCTTTGGTTCCTTTCAAGATAATGGATTATTCATTTCATTGGAAGCAAGGCAAATAAATAAGCTTTCAGATGATACCAAATAACTCCACCTGCCCAAAAACTGACGAGCGCCTGATTCCACCTCGTTGAAACAGCAAATTTGTTCCCGGTCCAGACGGGAGTCAAGGTTGATTAAATAAATACTCTGACTTGACCAGCTCTTCAGCATGACGCTGAAAGAATCGTAGGTGAAATGGAGATAAACACTTGAGAATGCCTTTTATAGTGAATCAAATAATATAGGAAAAGAAATTAGAGCCGCAGAAGTGACTGCTCTACATCATGTAACACACCTGAAGGCGAAGGTCTCGAGTACCAGATTTCAGCAGTGAAGGCGTGTAATGAAAACCAAGACCTTATGCCAACCCCCCAAAAAACTGTCTTAACGCACGAACGGAGTGCATTCCTGTTCTACTCCGCTCCCTTTCGTTTCCAGTCTGACCCATTTCCTTGATCGCCATAAAAATGGGAGAGAAACGAATGTGAGATGTTTTTGTCTCCACTCGCTTTCCGTACGTGAACATCCGGTGCTGTCATTAACACAATGGATCTAGATCGTATTTAGTTTGCTACCCCTGTGTTGAGCAATAACAGAGGCTTTTCAATTATTCTTATTGTTTTGGATGAAAAGAAGACGCCGCGTCCCAAAACGGTACTGGACACAACATTTTTCTACGAAGAGGTGATTTTGGAGAATATCGTTATCTTCTGGGTGGGTTTTAAGGGATGAGGAAAAATCAAATGTGTTTCCTACATTCGGATACGACCTGAAACTTTTCAAACCCTTCTTCATCTCATTAGATCTCATATTGAGAAA